AAGGTTCAAAGTTATCAATTTTATTGATTTTACTATAAACAATGGAAATTTATTTAAACTTTAAAACGTAAAGGCTCGATAACCAAGCAAGCTATTGGAATAATCCTTCCGCGATTGTATTTGCATATGCTCAATTAAGGGCCTGTCAGAGAGTTTTTTTCATTTATATTAGTAAAAAAATTTTTTGTAAAGGTTCAAAGTTACCAATTTTCTATTAACATTTGCTTTGACAATCCTTCCCTTTTAAGGAAATGGAAAAATGTTATTAAATAAAAATTGTTATAAAAGATTGTTAGTCTAATAAAATTTTGATCAAATAAAATGCCAAAACTTCATCAAAAATTAAGGCTAATTCAACAGGCCCGTCTAATCAAAAAAGAGAAAAATTATGATCCAATTGAAAAAGAAAATAGTTCACCTATAGATCTTGACAAGTCATTTCTAGTAACCAATGATTCCTTATCCAGAGATGATTATGTTTCTCTATCCCAAGATGTCTTTGATTCAACTTTCCAAAATGCATCAAATGTTTACCCCCAAGATATTTTAGATCACTCATCTGTTAATACTATAGATCAAACTAATATGGCAGAACTTAGTACTAAGGCAAAGCAAATTAGAATTGAATTAATTAATAAAATAAATGATTTAGATGAAAAAGAATTAATTGCTTGCTCCCAATTGTTTGAAAACATGCAATATCCAAATGGTACACATCAAGGTAAGATTTTGTCTCCTTATTTGCAAAAAAAAGCCATGGAATGGGTCCTAATGACTAAAGGCAAACCTCAGAATAATGAATCTGAGATAAATCAGAAAATGAAAGAATTAGAAAAGGAAATTAAAAAATTAAAAAAAAAAATTGAAAATCTTAATGCATATAAAAAATCACTTGCAATTAAGGTTACTAGGCAAGAACAAAGAAGAAAAACTTATGTTTCCCAGACCCATTCTCTTGTTAGTAAAAGGAAATCAATATCAGATAAAGTCTTTCAAAATGCTGTAACAAAAAAATTCAAAGCAAATAAAAATGCCTACACACCTGAATTTGTTTCCCTAGCTACTCAAATGAGTAATATTGGTCAGATGTCTTTATCCTCAACTGTTCAATGTACAAAGGAGATCTTTGCCTTTCTAACTGGTCAATCACCTGAATCCTGGTTATCCCATAGAACATTGGCAAGGTGGAATAAAGAGGTAGCTCAAGTTGTGATTCATGACAATCTTCCTAATAAAGATTGTAGATTCTTTTCTTATGGTATTATTGCAGATGAAAGCACTAGAGGAGAGAAAAAAATTTTCTTAGTATGCTTGTCATATTGGAACCATCACACTAATGAACCCTTACTTTCTATAATCCGAATGGTAGATATAGAACGTTGTAGTGCTATTGTTGTCTGTGATACTATAATAGAATCATGTCAATCTTATAATATATGTACAAATAAATGTCTGTACTGGCTTACTGACAATACTGGATATATGTCTGGGGAAAAGGGTGGTGCTGTAGTTGAGTTCAAAAAAAAAACAGGATCAAAGACAGTTAGGATTCCTTGTGGCCTCCATGCAATTCATATTGTTGTAAATGCTTTTGAGAAAATTACATTTGGCAGTAATCCTAATCCCTCTGGTTTGTCCTTACGTCCACATCCTTTTAATCTACTGAATCTTGCCTACTACCTTCACAATGGTTACAATGATTCAGATAAAGATAATCCTCTAAACATGAAAACAGAAACAATTAAAAAGTTGTATTGGACCTTTCTCCAATATCAATTGAAAAATTACCAAAAACCTATTTCAACCAGATGGCTATACCAATTAGAAACAGCCAAACAGTATCTTGACAGAAAAGATATACACCTTGTGTTTGCAAGATTTTTTGTTGATCAGTTGATGTCCTCAAAAAATGTGCCAGAGAGATATTATCATAAGTGGACTACTTTCCTCAGTTGGTTACAGGATGAAAAAATGAATATTTTAATTAGAATTATGGTACAATTTGGCAAATGGTTCTATGAACGATTATTCCATTTTCTTACTGGAGCAGACCCTTGTCCTAGGGTACAACATAATGGCACCCCTAAAACACTCCCCAATGGTTATCAAGCTCATGAGCTACCAGATATGGTGGGAAAATGGACCAAGGAATTGAATGAGGTTGTAGAGAGACCAGAAATCATTTTCTTTGAAGAATTTCAGGCTGCAAGTGAGCACCTAGAAGAAAATGATTATATTGATTTAATGAATAAGGTCAAAGCAGGGTTAGCAAAAGCCTTGGAAATGTTTAAAAAGTGGATGGATATATGGACTCACTTACCACTTTCGGTCTGTAGTTTAGGGGGTAACAATGGCCAAGCATTTGCACAGGCAGTTATCTGTGTAGTATTAAACACTCCTCTACCAAATTTTTCTAATAATCTAGCAAGTAAATATATTGACCAGTTGGTAGATGATTTCAATAATCAGAGAAAAGAATCTTTTGGTCTCTTTGAAGCGTTACAAGAAGATGACTTTCGTAATGAATTTATTGCCTTCTCTGTGGCCAATGATCCCAAATTATTTGATTTTCCTTTACTATATGATTTCATTAAAAATAGAATTTGGTCAATAGTTGTTCATCAGCAGCATGTAGAGGGCATGTTTAATAAATATGATTTAAAGATACATGCCAATATGAATATTGATTTGCAAGAATCTAGACTACAACTTTCAGGACCTAAACCTTTAGGATGTATGCTTACTTCAGAGAAACTAAAAGATGTTCGTGCTCAACAGCATAGAATTACTCCCAATCCAATAAATTTGAACTTTGGTGAGGAGGCAACCAAAAATATATTAAAACATATACTAAAAAATAAATAATTATATATTTAATAAGTGTATTTGTAACAAAAAAATCTGTTCATGAAGTGACTTATTTATGAGTTATGATTTATTATTATGATTCAAATCTTACTTCAGAGAAACTAAAGGAGATTTACAATTACTCCCAACCTGAACTTTGGTTAAAAAATATATTTAATATATTTTTGTAATAAAATATTGTTTCATGAAATAAGTTATTATATATTATCATTGTGATTCAATCTTACCTCCAAGAAACTAAAAGAAATTCATGCTCAACAGCATAGAATTACTCCCAATACAATAAATCTGAATTTTGATGAGGAGACAACCAAACATATACTAAAAAATAAATAATTATATATTTAATAAATGTTTTTATAACAAAAAATTAAATAATTATATATTTAATAAATGTTTTTGTAACAAAAAATAAATAATTATATATTTAATAAATGTATTTGTAACATAAAAAATTGTTTCATGAAGTGGCTTATTATGAGTTATGATTTATTATTATTATGATTCAAATCTTACTTCAGAGAAACTAAAGGAGGCTTACAATTACTCCTAATCCAACAAATTTGAACTTTGATTAAAAAATATATTTAATAAATATTTTTGTAATAAAAATATTGTTTCATGAAATGAGTTATTATTTATTATCATTGTGATTCAATCTTACCTCCAAAAAACTAAAGAAATTCATGCTCAACAGCATAGAGTTACTCCCAATCCAATAAATTTGAACTTTGGTGAGGAGGCAACCAAAAATATATTAAAACATATGCTAAAAAATAAATAATTATATATTTAATGAATGTTTTTGTAACAAAAAAAATTGATTCATTTATGTTATGAGTTATTATTATTATTATTCAATCTTACCTCCAAGAAACTAAAGGAATTTGTGCTCAACAGCATACAATTACTCCCAATCCAATAAATATTTGTAATGAAAAAATTATTTCACGAAATGACATTATGATTCAAATTATTTCTTAGTTGTGAAAAATTTATTTATTATTATTATTATAAAAATTTTTGTGTTACAAAATTTTCAAAATAACAGTTAAAAAATCCGCATATATGAAATTTAATTATTGATGTTTATTAATTTTGATGATCAACCGTTGTGACCAACCCCATTAGATTATGTCATAACCGTGAAAAATATTGGGTCAGGTTACACGATCAAAATCATAGTGGGCTGCACGATAAGGATAAATATAAAGATGGCTTATTATTGCAAAGTAACTTAACCGATCAATATTGATATTATAAAAAGCTTTTGCGTAAAATTTTTATTTACACTATCCCGATCATGTATCACGTTATTATTATTAATATTACACTGTGAATTTCGATTTAGCCACTTAGTATTTCAAAAATCGTTAAATCGAGATTTAATTAGTATATCTGTTATATCGAGAAAATTTACTATTACTATAAAAATACAGCCCAGTTCTGAGCTTCAATTCGTTAAAATCGAGATTTTTATTAGACATCCGCCAAACCGAAATTCACTGTGTAATACAAGAAATGCTTGAGTTTAGTAATAAATTAATGTGTGGGAACTGAATTGTATTCAGCAAAAGAAAAACTTGGTCCTGATGAAACAAAGGAGAAATTAGGACACACAAGAAAATATAAAAAAGACCTGGAATATATATTTATAAGTTTTTATGAGCTTTTATATTTTATCAGCCTCTAAAGCATTTTACTTGCGTCATTTTTGACTTAATGGCAGCGAATTTGACGCAATATTTTTACAACTTTGGAAACATTCCGTCAAACAACATTAATTGGCTCTCCTGTGTTTTCAATGACGTTCTCCTTGCGAACAAATTTTCAGGAACAATGAACTAACTCTTGATCTTCTTCCGCTAAATACCGTTTAGCCCTTTCCTAGAAATATATTTTGGCCTTTTAGATTAAGCGCCTAATACTAGACATGATTTACTTACTTTAAATGATTCATAAAATAGTTTGTCTAAATTGGAAACTGGTTTTAATTCGGTATCTAATATTCCAGAGCAGTTTGGGTGATCATGGCCAAATTGCGTCACATCCAAATTCCGCAATCCTTGATCTATTTTCAACCATAATTCCTTCAGTGTTCTCGATTGTTTTTGAATCGCCTATACAATCCACGATATGAGTATAGAATTATTTTGCAGATATAAAATATCTAATAAAATCAATATGTACCAAGTTTATACTGTTTAGAACAGCTCCCACATTTTCTTTGGCTCTGTTGAACTAGGGTTTCTATTTGTAATACAAATTCTTATTCGAATACAGTCAATCTTTAATATTAATTCGAATTAAAAATTTTATTCGTTTTATCCGTTTTCAAATTACTAGTTTATTCATTTTATAAAATTTAGGTCTTATTTCTTTAACAAGGTAATATAAACAATAATTATATTTATAATCTATATTACTCTTATAATTGCTAGTAATATGATTTAAGGAAAATGTCAGCTACTACTATTTATTGTTATCACTATATTCAAGGACTAAGGAAAAATAGATCGATAAAGGAAATTTTTTTAATTGGATTGGATTATTCGAATTAATATTATTAATTTATTATTATTATTATTATTATCGTTCATTTTATTCGAATTGCTAGTTTTATTCGAATCATTAATTTTATTCGAATTAAAAAAATTATTCTAATTATAATAAAATTTCAATGTAATTCGAATACTCAAATTCATAATGAATAAAACGAATGAACCAGGGTTGACGATGATACTGGTCTATTGGTGTAAAATTAATTTTCTTTTTTCAAGGTGAATGAACTTGTTTCCAATAAGGAACGAAACAACATTATTGTTTTAGAAATAGAAGTATTTGCATTTTTATATTTATTATAATAAAATAAAAATAAAAATCAATGTATAATATGTATATAAAGTAAACGCATATATTTTAGATTATTGTAATTTAAACGCGGTGAAGAAAATTTGGAATTAGATCAGTCTAAAAGTATGATTATTGATATTTATAATGATAAAATTTTTTTCTTATCTTGATTGAGTTGCAATTTTTAATTTTGCAATAGCAATAATTATTTGTTTTGAGAAGCAATTGTCAACCAGTAACGCAATATATATATATATAACTGTATATATATACATGGGACAGTTCCGATTTATCAGTCCTGTAAAGTGTAATAGGTTAGTTTAACTCGATTTATCATTGATCTTATTTGATTTTAATATAAAATGGAAATGGAAAATGCTAATGATAATTTTATTTTGTCACTCGTATTAAATCAAAAGTTTGATTTGATTTTATGATTTTATTTTATGCGTTTAAGATTATATTTCAATAAGATTATTTATTATGCATATGTGGTGCAGAAAGTTGGGAAGCCAAACAGCATTCTCAGAAATTTGATTCTAAAATATTTTTATTGCCCCAACATGACGTTTTCTAATTGAAAAAATAAAGGCTATCACTTAAGACTTAATCAAATCATCTAGAATTATGCCACAAGTAGATGGATGGAAACTTAAATTATATGGAAATATCTTTATGTGCATAATTCATCCAGTTGAAGGTAAAGAAGATGAAAGCTCCTCTATAGGGCGAATATCACCAATTAATGAAAATATTCTAAAATTAATTACTAAATAATTGCATTGCACTTACTGACTCGTAAATGGTTTGATAGAAAGACGCCTTCCCCAAGAATGATATAAAATGCTTCTTCAAAGCTATAAATCGATGGATAGGATAATGACGCGGTAATATTTATTTAGAATTAAAATTATTTTTCATTGCCTACTAATAACAAATGTATCATTTTTTTTTGGATTAAGAGGGTTTATAAATACTTGCTTTGGAATATCAATTTTTTTCAATTTTTTTATTTGTGCCAATTGAATTCATTGTCCAAGTTTTTTCTTTTATAAGAAACCAACTTTATAATATAACTGGTGGAGTTTGGAAATTTATTTATTTGTTTTGGTATGTTTTTTAAAATAACGTTATTCCGATGAATGTCAGGTTAATAAACTATTGATAATAGCTTCTTCAGATTTATTATTATTATTATTATTATTATTATTATTATTATAATTTGAACCATGAATATTTGGTTTTGTTCATTAAAACTTTTATTGCCATTTTCTAAAAAAAAACTCATCATGTACAAAAAAATGCCAAAAAAAAGGTTGCAACTTTTATTCGTCAAAGATGGCTATTATTATTATTATGTTCATTAACATTTGCAAAAGCAAATTCAGCTAATGTTGTTTCATTCCTTATATGAAATGGCTCTGCAATTCTGCTGTTGTTAAACGACGGCGCGCGTACTTGAAAGCGAGATGGCCTTTTTTTTATTCAACAAAGGCAAATTAAAAGAGTAGAGAGAGCGTAGAGAGAAAAAAGGAACGGTTACAGCAGAGACTGAAACATGGAGATGACTCACAACCAAACAGTTAAAGTTTGTGTTCTTTAGTGGAGTTTGTTGTATGTGTATGGATAAAATATTTACCTTTTCGATGGCATGCCGTAAATTCTATTACGTAATTACTAATCAAAGCAGTCAATCATTTAAAGTGTTATGACTTGCTAGATTGTTATTAAAAATGAAGAAGAAAATAAAACTGTTCATTCCCATGGGCTCCTTGGGTCGGAAAGTCGCCTGAAATTTGAGAGTTAAACAAATAATCAAATTTGAGAGACCTTATGGTGATGATCGTCGTTGTAATGATTGATATAGATGATATGCACACCGTATCCAATTATCATCAAAAAAAAGAAAATAATGGCGGTAAATTTTCTTTTCATTTTTTTTTTTTTTTTAGTATGTTTAAATTGTATCATCTTTTAATTATTTATTTTATATAAAATAAGTTTCAACCAGTAAATCCAAAACCTTTTTTACAAGAATTAACAGGTAAACCCGTTATGATACGTTTGAAATGGGGTATGGAATATAAAGGGTACTTGATGTCGGTTGATTCTTATATGAATATACAACTTGCTAACACAGAAGAATTTATCGATGGCAATTCAACTGGTGCACTTGGTGAAGTATTGATTAGGTGGGTATAAATATAAACATATAAAAAAGATATGTATTATTTTTTTTCAATTATCACTTATATAATTTATATAATATATAATAGATGTAATAATGTTCTATATATTCGAGGAATTGAAGAGGATACAGAAATGAGTGGTGGAACGTAAAATTAGATTTCATTTTTAATGTATAGAAGTTTTTATAGAAATTATTATTAAAAACTAATAAAAATTTAAACCAATTATATAAATAAATAAATTAAAATTATAGTTCTGACAAAATTGCTTGTTTATTTTTGTGTGATGATGAAGAGGAAGGTGTAATATAATTGGGATTTTTATCTGGTATAGGTGGTGATTCAACCTCCAAGTCATGTAGTTTTGTTTCTAATGATTCTAATTCTTGATCTTTTACTTTTATTGGTTGCTTCACTTCTTCTTTTAGCGCCCTTCTTTCTTCTTCTGCAGCTAGTAAATTCTCTAATTCTTTTTCTAATTCATCGTCAACATCATTATTTAATGCTGCACCAAGTATTGAATCCTGTCCTGATTTCATAGCATCATCAATTTCCTTTTGATCTGCAAGAACTTCTTGTAGATGATCCATTGTTTCATCTACTTTATCAATACTTAGACCACTTATGGCCAATGTATTTTGCAATGCATCAGCCCCAGCTTTATAACCTTCAATTATCTTTTTATTTGGTGTGGATGAATGGAGAAATAAATATCGATTAAAATTGGAAATTGATGTGGAAGAAATTTAAATTTTAAAATTTTTTACCTCTGCATCAGATACAGCTTCTTGAATTTTTAATAGGATTGTTTCAACTGTTTCTAAGGAATTTATTCTTTTAACTAAAATTTTATCAAGTAGTAGTTTTTTTCGTAAATCTCTCATTGCTAGTGCTTTCTGTTTAAGAGAAATGTATTTACTGGCGGCTGTCTTTAACCTATCAAAATCATAAAAATAATTGTCAAAAAAAAAAGGGAAAAATAATTCACAATAATTCACTAATTCAAACATACATACTCTTTGATTCGAGTTTCTATATCTTGAATTTGTTCGTGTAGTTTCCGTGATGTTTCTTTTATTGTAATAATATTACAATCCAATTCCGTAATTTCAAGTTTTAATTTATTATTATATTTTTTCAAACAAAACTTGATCACCAAATCATCAGGATTGCTATCATGTTTGTGAAGAGATTCATTACTCAAATTTTTTGTTACAATGATTTTACGATCATATTCTAAATAAGTGATTAACACTTTTATGTCTGTATCTGTAAGCACTGAACCAGGAATTATTTTAGTTGCAAACTCTGACTTAAATGTAGCAAGTGTATAAAGATTATCAGAAATCTGATTTAGTGCAATTTTTTCATGAAGTTGGATAATTTTAGTTGATGATTCTTTCAATTTATCCATTTTCACCCATTTTCCTGAAATAATATTAACAGGCTCTGATCCTGTTAAATTTTGAAATGTCCATGCTATTGGTTGTGATACTAACCTAGTGTATATCCAACTTAACCAACCCTGTGAAATAAATGTTGAACAATACTCTTTAAGAGGCATCAATTCTGATTCTAAATACATTTCTTTCTAATTATTTTTTTAGAAAATAAGTAAAAAAAATGGAAAATACAATTTAGATGTAAATACAACAATAAATAACCAAATGAGAATAAAAGAATAAAACATACAATAACACATTGAATCCCAAGAGGTTCATGTCCGTTATAACTTGCAAATATTTGTTTGGTGGAGTCGCTTATTTCTATGCAAAAAACATCTTCGCCTAGCCATTTACTTCTACTACACTCGTCTAAAATCTTCTTCCAAAAGTTTATACAATCAATATACACCGCATTATTAAAATCTTTTTGATTTGTGAAGTCAGACCAATACCAAAGAAGTTTTTCTTTTGATTGAGTTTCAGGCAATGAATTGACATAATCCACAAATTCTTTATTTTTAGAGTTTTGATTCATTGTTAACTTTTTTAATGAATGAATGAATGAGTAAGAGAGAGATGGACAAATGTTGATCTTATCAAATAGAAAATCATGCCCCATTTATCATTACACATGTAAAATAAGTCGGTCACTATAAAAAAACAGACATTGAATCGTGTAACGAACATTTTGGACTTTTTAATAAAATTTCCTGATGATCACTATTATCGTTTTAAAATAAATAGTAAAAAAAAACAATAAAACCTTGGTGGAGTGATTGTTGACAAAATGAATCAAACCCAACATTTATTTTTACGTTGTCAAATTCACGATTTTGATTGGTCAATCAACAATTGCATGGGTTAAAATTTTGTTACCTGTTCTTATTCCTTCGCTCAAAACAAATAATTGTTTTTTATGCGTCAATGCCAATACTTAATAAACGTTCTGGTCTTGAGGTAATTCTTGTTTTATAATAAATTGATCGGCATTTCTCTGATTCATCAATTAAACTTTATACATTTAATGATATTGTTTTGAATAAATTCTTTAAAAACAATGCTGATTACTACTTGTGTGATTGATTCAATCATTAATACCAAAGGAACAAATTAATTATTTTGCAATAAAGCTCATCAGGAAAATAAATCTCATGTAAACCTACGCAGGGTTTAAAACTGACCAGCATTATGCGGAAATGTTAACAGAATTACCAAAATATCGACATAATGCTGGCCAATTCTGAACCCTACGTAGGTTTATGTAAGATTTATTTTCCTGATGCTGTTTGTTTGTTTATTTATTGTTGTTTATTTGATTTAACATTAATACGTGGTTTCTATTTGTCGCTTTATTTGAATTTATTTGTTTTATTGTGCTTTATTCGTTTTGTTCGCTTTATTTGAATTTATTCGTTTTATTCGAATTTATACGCTTTATTCGAATTACTCGTTTTATTCGTTTTATTTTTTTACTTGAATTATTATTATTATTATTATTCGTTTATTCGAATAAACTTTATTCAAATGGAAACACTAATTACTGCTCAAGATTATGATATTATTTTAGCACAAAGAGCTTTAGACCAATAACTTATTACAATATAAAAGAACTATTGGTTTATTAAATTAAGCCAATAATTAATTTAAAAATAGGATTAATTTTAAAAGAATATCTGATGATTTCAATATTTGCTAATAAAATAGGCTTTTAGACTATATGATAAAAATACTAAGAATATTATTAACTTAACAGTATGCTAATACATTGATTATTTTTTTAAAGAATATTGACATTCAGATATCAGGTCCTGATATTTACTGATACCTCATTACCAAACTTGGGATCATTTGACCAATAAAAAGAGAACCAATAGATTATATATAAGCAAAGAAAGATATTAGCACAAAAGAATTTAATCATGCACAAATATAACGGCTTGATAGCTTGATTGACATAAGTGGTGCAGCCTTGCAATTTTTTTATTGTATATAATTAATTAATACATCTTTAATAAAACAAACATGACTTAACTATTTAATCATTTCCTTGTACGTGAATGCCTCCATCCTATACATGAAGTCAAAACTATTCCGACCATTTGCAGGTCTGGTCGAAATAGGGTCGAAATAAGGTCGAAACTGATTTTTACTATGTAGTTGCCTCAAGTCGAAACATTTTGATTTTGGGGTTGCTTTGTGTTATACCTTCTCACTATAATAAAGTTGGTGTTAAGACTGGTACAAAATTCTGCAACTTGAAAGGTTGCAACCCAAGTTGCTGTTTTGGATTTTCCCTGGATCCAGAGTTTTGAGTCTGTTTTATTCGAATTATTCGTTTATCCGTTTTATTCGAATCATCCCTTTATTCGTTTTATTCGAATAAACTTACAATGTAATTCGAATACCCAAATTCATGGCGGGTAAAACAAATAATTCGAATAAACCTTATTCGAATAGAAACCCTAATCAAGCAGTATAGTTGTATATAGTGATTTTAGTTTAGTTTGAACATTATTGGCTGTGTTCCAGGTAAATGTGTGCCAAATTTGGTGACTCCGTAATAAATAATTCGGATCGCACGTTCGCGATATTTATAGGCCGTAAATAATTATGGAATTACGGATTTACTGTCTCTTTAGAGAGTCATGCCGGATTTATTTACGTAATGCTGAATTCAATAAAATTTAGAAAACTTCAATTATGGCAATATATTTTGGATGCTGACGATTATTTTTCTTTTAATTATCCAATTATAGTATTAAAATAGCACTACTTGTACCTCTCTTTCTATAGAAAGAATATTTTCACACATGAAATAATTAAAAACAATTTGAGAAGCAAAATGCATTTAAACACATTAGATGAACATTTAATGATTTTATTAAATGGTCCGGAAATTAAAGAAAGACTTTGATTTTTAAAAGTATACGAGAATTAGGAAAGTAAAAAAATAATTAATTTTTATTTTGTAAAATAAAATTTCGTCGTACGTCCAACTGAATTTTCAATAAATAATAATAGTAATAGTAATAATAATAGTAATAATAATACATTAGAATTTTGCTGCAAACATCATACGAAAATGTCTCGTAGTCACATATTAACAATACATAGAAATAGGTAACCACAACAGATTTTATGGTACGGCGTGATATTTATCCGCCTATGACATTAAAAAAAATATTGATCAGGTCATACGATTTTTATCTTAATATATATTTTGAATATATATAATAAACGAAGAATGAAGAATAATTAATTAATTTGATTAATTACAATTTGATTGATAATTAAAAAAAATATTTTTGAAACCATAAAATCAGTAGTGTAACATAAAATATCCGATGATTTTTTCCAAATTTGGACGTAAAGTAAAATTATTTAACATTGAAACAATTATAAAATAACTAAATATATTTTTTTTAAAAAATCCTTCGATTACCATTTTTCATTCCTTTATATAATTTAATTTTTTCTCGCCGGTCGAGTTTATGGTTATTCATTCTTAAAATATAAATACATACATTCGCATACATTCATTTTGTGTATATAATAAAAACAACAACAACAACAACAATAACAACAATAACAACAACAACAACAACAACAACAACAACAACAACAACAACAACAACAACAACAACAAAAGCTCAAAATGAGAGAATTAACAGGTAAAAATGATAATGATATGCTCAAACATTCAAATGATTTTGAAACCTAATGAATGTGTTAATGCTTTGGTATAAGAGAGAGTTATCCAATTGGTACTGACAGACCAAATATTATTTATTCTGATGAAATAGCTTCAAGTCGACAAGATTTTCCCAAAAGACCTTTAGACGAAGATGGCAAACTCAGAAAACTTGACTCCATCAAAAAGTCAGTTGCTAGAGGTGATTCGGTCAAGAATTTGAAAAGACTTAATTCCAATAACAGTTCTGTAACTGTTAAAAAACCTTTAACAAGATATGAAAAATTTCAAGCTTGGATGGTTAATGAAGGTATAAATTTGTATATATAAGCGATCAATTATTAATTTAAACAAAACTGCCATCAATACATATTTTACGTATTTAAGATTTTTTTAAAAAAAATTAATATTATTTAGGAAATCGAAAAATATTTTTTACATTTTGGATTTTACTTCATGGATTAGTTTTTTCAATGGCGTTTTTGAATTTCTTATTTAGTGATAATTTGTCAACAGCTCGTTCTATTTTTGGTATAACATATCCAATTGCTCGTTCCTCGGCCTTGGTTTTACATGTAGATGCAGGCCTTATACTATTTCCAGTTTGTAGAAATTTGATTTCTTTATTTCGTACAACTCCATTAAATGCCATCATACCATTCGATGAAAATATTGAATTTCATAAGGCCATCGGCTGGTCAATATTATTTTTCTCTTTGTTGCACACATTTTCTCACTGGGCAAATTTTGCTAGATTGACTATTGCTTTGAATGAAGATTTCATCTATTTTTTGAAATTAAATTTTTTAAGTGGTCCTGGTGCAACTGGTTATGTTATGTTGATATCTTTGCTTATAATGGTCATTACAGCTACAGATAATCAGAGACGTAGAAATTTTAATAGATTTTGGTATTTGCATCATCTATTTGTACCTTTTTTTGGTGCATGGGCATTCCATGGAGCATTTTGTATGATAAAACCTGATAGACCACCATTTTGTAGTGATATTGCTGTATTTTGGAAATATTGGATAGCATCTGGTACAATTTATATTGGTGAACGTATTTTACGTGAGATACGTGCACGTCAAAACACATATATATCAAAAGTTGTTATGCATCCATCAAGAGTGGTTGAAATACAAATCAAAAAAAAAAATATTGTGACCAAAGCAGGTCAATACATCTTTTTATGCTGCCCTGCAATATCTATACTTGAATGGCATCCATTTACTTTAACCTCTGCACCAGAAGAAGATTATATATCTGTACATATTAGAACTGTGGGTGATTTTACTAAAACATTGGCAAAGAAATTAGGTTGTGACTTTGAGGAAGAAGAAAGGTTACGTAAAAAAGCAGGGAGCGAAAATCGTGCTAAAAGTACTTATGATGGAGTTGATATTTCAATAAATAGTCCAGAGTTGAAGAAAGTTTTACCTAGAGTGATGATTGATGGTCCTTTTGGTAGTGCTTCAGAAGATGTATTTAAATTTGAAGTTTCTATATTGATTGGTGCTGGTATTGGTGTAACACCTTTTGCAAGTATTCTAAAAAGCATTTGGTAATTATTTATTATTATTTTAAAAAAGAAATTGTTGATTGGTGAATAGCTAGTTTAGTTGATGATTAAATTGATATTATTATTAACTGTTGTTGTGATTGATATTGAAGGTATCGTATAAACTATCCAAAAAAATCTACAAAGTTACGTAAGGTTTATTTCTTTTGGATTTGCCGTGATTATGATGTGAGTCTTTTCAAAAATAATATTATTATTATTGTGCAATGAGAATGGGAAATAGGTTTTACATGAACCTTATTAACACATACGTATATTATTTTTTTTTTAAAAAAAAATTGTTAATTACGATAATAGTCATTTGAATGGTTCCAATCATTATTACTAGCTATTGAAGAACAAGATATTGATCAATTCATTGAGATTCATACTTATCTTACAGCACGTTTACGAAATTCTGTTATTGGTAATATATTAGTGAATGATGATGGTAATATTAAAGATACCATTACTGGACTTCGTGCACCAACGCATTATGGTAGACCAAACTGGGATAGGATTTTTTCAAATATGAGGGAACAACATCCGTCCACTGATGTTGGTGTATTCTTTTGTGGACCAAAACCACTGGGAAAACTATTAAATAATAAATGTAATTTATGGAGTCAAGGATCTGAAGAGGGCACAAATTTCGTTTATGGAAAAGGTAAAAATACGTTTTGTTTATTTTTGCAAGTATTAATTGTTTGTCAATTTGAATATTAAATTAATATTAATGTTTTTTTTAATATTATTACTACAGAAAACTTTTAAAAAATTTGGGGTTTTTATATTTAAATGGGGAAAAGGAAAAAAGGAAAAAAGGAAAAAAGGCTAGGCAACCGGATAGATATTATATTATATTTAATAGAGAATTGTAAAATAAATTTTTATAATAAAAATTTATTTTTGAAAAATAGCTGAAACATTTCTTGCTTGATTTCTTATTAAAAAAAAAAAAATCATGTCCATGATTGTGATTGTGATTTGTGAATTTTTAACTCATATGTTAGTCCTTGATGCAAAGACTATAAAAAGTAAAGAAAGTGAATGATTAAACTCAGGAATTGGCCTAAATTTTCTTAAAATATTTTCTTTATTTATTAATAGCTTAAAAAATTGATATTTACACGTCTTTTCATTCATGAAAAACGTAACCGTTTTTTATTGTAAGTAGTAGTAATGATAATTAACACGACACACATCATGCAAGTGCCCGAATAAGATTACATATGTAAACTCGATAAGTCGGCCAAAATTTTCACCCCGTTTCTTAATATTTAAGTAATTTAATTCGATAAGTCGGTCATATGAGCTCACCCCCACATGACCGACTTATCGAGTTTACATATCAATAGGGATTGCGTCGTCACGAATTGTCTTGAGTTACGTCTTGCGACACGAATTGCATCCTACATCTCTTGCATCATGAATTGTGTTTTGCATAACACCAATTGCAGCTTTTAAACCACTATAACTATACTGTTTTGTCTTTTTATTTAATTAATAAAATTTAGGCAAATAAAACTTATTATTATGTAAATCACAAAATTTTCTTATTATTCTTATTATTATTAATCCGGTCCAGAGTCCAATAAAATGATTGGACTGGCAATTTTGACAACACTGTTTATGTAATTATAATCCATTTTTATTATGTAGGCTTATGGAAATGTATTTGCTGTTATATTAAACCCTTCCTTTGAAGTTTTAATGCTTTTGGATAAATCCAGTAAAGGTGCACTGTGGATTTCTTATTATCCCATTTTGTGATGGTGATTTATTAAAATAAATAAAATCAATTTTTTATATTAGATACTATTAATTCAAAAAAATCAACAATAATTCCTATAACCAATATAACAATTCCTGATCAGAGTTCTTATACATATGCTCATCAATTCATTTCAATTACCAATATTATAACTGTCACAAAATTCACAATTAAAGTAAATCACCTAATTCCTTATATATTATTTTTAATCTATCTCAAAAAAAAAACAGTTTGATGACCTAACTGATTAGCTCAACAATTACTTTGTCATGCATTAGATATGAAAAAAAGTAATATTTTTTATATATTTACATTATCAATGAAAAAGTGTCAACCAACTAATCAAAAATTAATTTTAATGATATAAGCCAGAATAGTGGAGAATGATTGGTCAAAAATCAGGATGTTTGAATTTCAATTGAACTTAGATGAGAAAGCTTGGCTTATGAGTAAAATAGATTCATTTCAATGTATAAAATGCCCGGAATTAAATGAACATGTGAATATATATTTTTGGCTGTTAATATTTAATTAGATTTGGTTTAAATAGAATTTATCTATATGAAAACTTAACTTATTTTTTATATGCATATATTTAGTATGGACTTATACATGAAATAATGTCATTAGGAAAAAAACTCAATGGATTGCTTCATACAATAACTGGTGAAAATTTGGAATTAATGCCAGAGTATGAACAAAGAATAGAAGTTCTTAAATCTTTAAAGTATATTGATGAAAAAACTTCAGTGGTTCAATTGAGAGGTCAAATTGCTTGTAAGGTGTGTATATATATTCTTGATGTGGATCATAAAATAATAATAATATTATTATTTTATTACACTACTTGAAACAATTGTTCGCTTTTTGCTATTTACTTGATTACTATATAATTACAGATTGTTAAAAAAAGCAGACAATGGTTTTACATAAGGTAATAATATTTACACCATTTATTCTTTTATTATAGATTAATACTGCTGATGAATTGTTAGTCACTGAATTGATTTTTGGAAATGTTTTGAAAGAATCTGAATATGACCCAGCTGAAATCGTTGCATTATTATCATGATTGGTATTCAAGAAAAAATGCTAGTGAACTGACTTTAACTCCAAACTTAGAAAAAGTAATGTTCATTCAATATTTTTGTAGTGTATATATATGATCAAAAATATAATATCTAGTTAATTTATCTTATTTATGAAAAAAAAGGTGTTGCAGAAATAAAAAAAGTTGCGAAGTATGTTGGAGAGGTTCAAAGAAAAAAAAATGTTGATATTCAAGTAGATGATTATGTCGAAACAATTAAGTTTGGATTAGTTCAAGTAGTATATGAATGGGCAAGAGGAATGGTAAACTTTTTAAATTTTGTTATTGTGGAGTAAAGTTTTTTCAGGACTTGATGTTTATTTAAAATTTTTTTAAAAATGACATTTAAAAATATAATGGAATTGACAGATGTGATGGAGGGTTTCAATTGTTCGATGCATTATGAGATTAGATGAAACTTGTAGTGAAATAAAAAGTGCTGCACAGTTAATGGGAAATATAGAATTATGTGCTAAAATGGATAAAGCTCGAAGTTTGATAAAACGTGATATTGTATTTGCAACTAGCTTGGTAAGTAGTATGATAATACATGATGATATTAAAAGTTCATTTGTAATTATATAATCTATAAAAGTTATATAATTCGTAATACTTTTAAAAATGAGTGATCTGCATTGATTTTAAATAAGGATCAGCGGGGATAATTACATTAATAAAACGCGTATATCTCAATAATCTCCAATCAATTTTCCAAAAAAAAATAAAAATGATTAACCAACCCTTATTAAAAGTAAATTTAATTTCATTAGGTTCAATCATTCCTCATTTACATTATGGACCAAATTTACAGCACTGGTGGTCCCTACATAATGAAAAAAACTTGGAGGAGGGTGCTTATTATACCCTATACATGTTGGCAAACAGTTTTAGAAACAAATAATAAACACTTTTACACTCAAGTCCAATAAGGGAATGAAAATTATGAAAATCGACCTGGTTGTAAGTGTCATATTGGTGCAAAATATAGTGATGTTGAGAAAAGCCAAGTCCAGCAGTTACTTCTTTGTATAGACAAGTTTTTCCAGCAAGTAATACAAATTATTCTGGACCAGGATGGACTAATTCCGAACTACTAGAACAATCATTGACAGGGATTGAGTTTCGACCATTTTTGATAAAAATTGACAGATATAATATATATGT